TAGTTCCCCAATCAGGAATTGAACCTGCAGGCCCTGCATTGAAAGGCAGATTGTAACCACTGGACTACCAGGGAAGTCCCTTGAATACCTCTTTGAATCAGGTGTCAGTTGCTAAGAGATCTGTGAGGGGCATTCTCCCCATCACGGAAACTGTGGAAACCATCGATAATCTTCACTGTCAGATTTTCACGGGTGAATTCAATTGAACAGGAAATAAACGCACAAAGCAACATATCCATCTGAGACAAAGACAAGCGACCTTACCTTGGCATTAGATAGGGTTTCTTCCTCTGCTCTGTCATGAGGGAGCTCCTCCAAAAGGTCCTCAGGGGAGTCTGGCAGGCGGGGGTGGGGGGACACAGAGTGACTGTCAGTCATTGGTGGTGTTGCTCAGGAATGACTTGGAGAGGTTTTGTTGCCTTGGGCAAGGAGATAGGCTGCATGGATGTGGTGGGTAAAACAAGCATGACTCAGCTGCTGCCGGGCCAACTGCCTTGGTGGACAAGGGAAGGCAAAGGAGAGGAGGAAAAAAGAAATGAGACAGAGCCCTTGGCTTTTCAGCTGAAGGCAACCTATATCATTGTACAAATGGTACTAAACTCCATGTTATGATTCAATGACCGAGTCCCATCACTCATCCTGCCCATTTTGAAGTCCAGCTAAATTGCTATTTATATTTTTTTGATGTGGACTGCTTTTAAAGTCTGTTTGAAGCCTATTGAATTGGTTACAATATTGCTTTTGTTTTTCCTTTTGTTTTTATTTGGCTGCTAGGCACGTGGGATCTTAGCTCCTAGAGCAGGGATAGAACTCACGCCTCCTGCACTGGAAGGCGAAGTCTCAAACTCTGGACTCCTAGGCAAGTGCCCACTGCTCTATTTTTAACATCTGCCAAAACCACACTGGCCTCCATGGATTCACATAGGCTGCTACCACAGTGATATCTGTTCCTTAGAATTTTGCAGGTGATTACAAGCACACTTTGATTGGGGGACTGGATTGAATTCTAGACAAAATAATCTATTTTATCATTCGACTAACATTTCATCATAAATATAATCAATTATAGAAGATTTGAAACTACTGATATCCTACTATTTAACCACTACTGGACTTCCCTGGTGGTCCAGTGGATAAGACTCCGTGCTCCCAATGCAGGGGGTCCAGGTCCATCCCTGGTCGGGGAACTAGATCCCACATGCTGCAACTAAGAGCTGGCACAGCCAAAGGAAAAATAAAATAACCACTCCCCCAAAAAACCTGTCCTAAATACTAACATCCATTAATTAAAAAAAAAAAAACAAAACTGCACTGTTTCACGGAGAGACAAGCTTCTGCTAATATTCAGCCATCAGCTAATATTCAAACATTAAAATCCAGACATTGTTGACTATTACATGTAAACAAACCTGAGTTGTAAATACACCTTTACTTTTCTGGTCATGGCACAAATAACTTGGCACATTTAAATTTTCATACATGAAAAAAAAGAATATGGCTTAATATTTTTATAGTTTTCTCTTACACACAGTGTACTAAATAAACTTCTATCATTATTCTGCAGTCTATTTAAAGACTGAATTTCTAAAGTACCTTCAACTGACTGGTTTGTAGGGTGCACCTTGGGGTGTGGCAGGATGCCCACTTTTCTGACCCACTGCTGGGGGTGAGGTGCCTATCTTCTTGACTGAGGATCAAGTTTCCCTTTTGTCTTCATCAGGCCAGATCCTAGGAAATGCATTCATAACAAAGAGAGCTGTTGACATCTTGCTGGCAGAAGAGCCCAGGAAAGTCAGTGATAACTTATTCCCAGTTGAAACCTTTGATCCCCTTATCTGACCAGCTGCCTAGCAGAGCCTCCTGAATCAAACTTGGGCTTTAAGAAGATCTTTCAGCTTGGGGTGCATTTAAAACACTCAAGGGAGAGATGATGTGGGTAAATACCTTTAATTTTTTCTTTTGTCCTCACCATGTGGCATGTGGGATCTTAGTCCCCTGACCAGGGATCGAACCCATTCCCCTGCATTGAAAGCACAGTCTTAAGCACTGGACCACCATGGAAGTCCACCAGATACCTTTATTCAGATGTGGCAACATAGGAAGGCAGGAGAATATAAACTGAGAACATGGGCACTGGTTCAAATTCCTCTAGAAGCAGCACGAACCTAGGAAGATGATGAACTGACCTCTCCCCGAGGTTCTCTGCACTGTTCTTACATAGAGCCTACAGTATCACGGTGTGAGGCTTAAAATGGTTAAATACAAGGAAAGATTAAGAAAGAGTACTTCAGAAGTCCTCTTTAAGTGCTTGCTCAGTAAATGTCCAGAAGCAAAAGCTAGAAACTGGGTCGGATTGCCTCCAGAGAGAGGACTTGGATAGCTATAGGACAGGGAAGGGTGGATGTTTACTTTTCATCCTGTACATGGGAAGGGTGCTTTTGAGGCTCGTGCAGAATACATCTAAATGTTTCCCATGACTCCCCATGTCAGCCTCGTGGCGGGGACAGTGCAGGGGCTGTAGCCCACATGGTGGTGTTGTTACTTAGTCGTTAAGTTGTGTCCGACTCTTTGTGACCCCATGGGCTGTAGCCCTCCAGTTCTCTCTGTCTATGGGATTTCCCAGGCAAGAGTACTGGTGTGGCTTGCTAGTTCACAGAACTGAAATTGAGACATTTTAAGGGCCTCGTCCAGAGTCACATGATGCATGATGGAACTGAGACAGGAATGTAGTTGGTTCCTTGAGGACGGAGATCCCTGAATCTCTAAGACTTCCCAATGATGCCCTATTCGCCAACCAAGGGCTCCTCTCCCCCTCTTTTTCAAAATATCCTGCCCCAGGGTTTCTGCGGGGAGAGAACTGATACCCCGGAGGAGGTCTTGAGCCAAAAGAATGGCTCAAACCCTGAGCCAGCCCCCAACCTCTAGGATTTAATCCTTGACCCCAAACATGACAGATATCTCCAAAGGAAGCCCCTCTGAAGGACCAGGGGAAGTCCAACCATGTGTTCATCCTACCCCAGCGTCTTCACACTGTCAGCTGTCTCACGCCTGAGCCTTCCTGATGACCAGGTGACCACCCTGCGTGACCAGCGGTCTGTTTGACCCCTAAGCTGGCTCAGAACTTAGGACATTCCAAACCAACTGTCACATGATGGCTCTGCCAAGATTTAACTTCCCTTCAACGGGCGAGCCTTGGATGCGCAAGCAGTTCATACAAATTTAACTGGAAAAGTAGCCATCTAGGCTGGTACACTGGGAATTTAATGAATTAAGTCTGTGACCCTCAATGTCTTACTGACTTAAAGAATTTTTTTTTAATTTATTCACTTAGTTTTGGCCGTGCTGGGTCTCCACTGCTACACGGGCTTTTCTCTAGTTGTGGAGAGCAGGGGCTACCCTCGAGTTGTGGTGAGGGGGCTCCTCATTGCAGTGGCTTCTCTTCTTGTGGAACACAGGCTCTAGGGCAGGAGGGCTTCAGTAGTTGTGACACGTGGGCTCCAGAGCACAGGCCCAGTAGTGGTGGTGAATGGGCTTAGTTGCTCCAAGGCACGTAGGATCCTCCCAGATCAGGGATCGAACCCCTGTCTCCTGCACTGGCAACTGGATTCTTTGCTATTGGGGGAAGCCACCAGGGAAGCCTCTCACGGACTGCTGAGGTGAGCCACTGTCTGAGCAGCCTGGGCTGGGGAGGGCCTGAGGAAGGGCCCTGGCCTGCACTGGCTCTGAGAGCTCACCCTCCCTACTCATCCTTTCTCACCAGAGTCCAGGCCCTGAAGGTTCCTCCTCCATCCCCAGACCCTGTAGAAGCAGAGGACAGACTCCCGTCTCCTCCTCTGAGAGGGACCTCTCCAGAGCCCCACCCTAGAAACCCCACCCCGGGACTATTCCTGAGGATGACCCAGGCCCTTCTAACTTCTGTCACCAAATGTTTATTTCACTAAACCAATGGCTTTGTCCCTTCTCTGCAATCATCAAGTAAGCAAGCGGAAGCATGCATGCTCAGTCGTACCTGACTCTGCAACCCCGTGGACTGTAGCCCACCAGGCTCCTCTGTCCGTGGGACTCTTCAGGCAAGAATACTGGAGTGGGTTGCCATGCCCTTCTTCAGGGGATCTTCTCAACTCAAGGACTGAACCTGTGTTTCTTCGCATTGGCATTTGGGTTACCACGAGCCCTACCTGGGAAGCCCAACCACTCGTACAAGCCAGTACTTTCCCACACTTGATCAACAGTTCCCTTGACACATAAGGACTGTGCCAAGTAATGAGAAAAAAATGTTACATGATGAAGTTAACATGAGGGTTCTGGAAGGAAGACAGGGAGAGGGAAGGAGTGAGCTGTAGGCAACGGGGGAGGGGGTTGGCAGCGGAGGGAGCAGGACCAGGGCCTCTGTCTGCTGTCCTGAGGACTGAGCACTGGGATGGGGCAACAGCCTCGAACCACCCACCTTTGAGAGGGGAAGGTGGCAGGCGGGGGAAGGGGACGAGTGCTGTATCTCCACGTGCCGGGACTGCTCTGGAAGTAGAGGGGTGAGGGCTAGACGTGGGTTTCAATGGAAACAGGGCTCACGCGAGGCCTAGCCTGGGAGGAAGGTAGACACTGTCTGTCCCCAAAGTTCTCGGCTCAGGTCTTCATCCGCCTCTTAGACCCCAGGAGAGTGGACCGCGCCCTGGAGGAGGAGGACTTGGTTGACGGCTCAACTGTCTTGAGTCCAGCCAAGTCCTCAGCAGGTTGACGGGTCCCTAAGAGGACGGCGTCTCCTGGCTGTGAGCCCCTGGAGCTGGGGCTGCTGGGGGTAGAGGCTGGGGTGGACACGCCCCTGAAGGCAACCTTGGCTGGGGGTGGGCTGTCTTCTCGGCTGGAAGTATGGGGGCTCTGCCCGGGGGCACCCCCAGGCACGTGACTGAAGATGGGGGCAGTAGCACCTCCAAAGCCAGGCTTCTCATGAGTGCTGGGCTTATTCTTAGCAGTGGGCTTATTCTTATCCCTGGGCCCCATAATCACCATGGGGGGGCTCTGGCCAGGAAGGCCCCGGTGTTCTGGGCCACTCTTCCCGCTCTGCTGTGTGTGGTTCTCCGGGCTCCCCTTCTCTGTGTTGAAAGGCTGAGAGCAGCAAAGAGGCAGCTGACATCCAGGACGGACGCTCCACTTCCAACGCCCCGAGGTGCGGCCGAGCCCCCCGGCCTGCAGGGGGCTGTGTGTGATCCACTGACTGCTGGGCAGCGCGGCCCGCTGCGGGGCCCCGCACTGGGCACGGCCTGGGGCACGCAGGTGGCAGCGGCAGGGGCTGGGCCAGCTGGGAATGCAGCCGAGGCCGGCTGGGTGCTGGCACGGGTGCCCATGGGGGAGTTGGTGGGTGGAGCTGGGGGGCCTGGAGCAGAGGTTGGATTCCCCGTTAGGGCTGGAGCTGCCGGGTTTCCACAGTGTGGTGAGTGGCCCCAGGCGGGGGCTCGGCGCTGCTGCACATCAGGGACCCCAGAGGTGGGCTGGGCCGGGGCTCTGGTGTGAGAGGAGCAGCTGAACCGGAGTCCAGGCAGGCTGGTGCTGACCGTGGCAGAGGCCGCGCTGTCCCTGGGGGGTGTCTGCAGGGCCTGGGAAGATGGGAAGAGGCTCCTGCTGGATCCAGGGGGAGACCCGAAGAGGGGAGACGGGGAGGGTGGACTGGTGTCCATGGGGGTGACCTGAGTGTCAGAAGCGGGGTGGGGAGTCAGGCCCCCAGATGTGCAGGGTGAGGGTCTGGTTTGGAGAGAAAACCCGATGAGCTGGCTGATGAGCTGGCCGATGGGGAGCAGGGATTGAGGATCAGATACGGGAGGGGGGCTATGGCGGGTGAAGACAGGAGAGTCCAGGCACATGGGTGTGGGGGACCCCAAGCCCGAGGAGCCCGGCGCTGCAGGGAAGGCCTGTGTGGCATCTTCCGCAGCCGGGCCCCACGCCGGGGGCTGGCAAAGGCCTCCTCCTCCTGCCGCGCTCCTAAGAGGCCCCCGGACGGGCCTCTGGAAGCCGGGAAGCCAAGCCGAACCCGGGGCCCAGGCCGGAGCCGGGCTTCCCCTCGCACCCGCCGTGCCTGTTGCGGGGGCCGAAGCAGGGGCCGAGGGGCTTGGCGGCCGAGCATTCAGGCTCGCGCTGCCCGATCCTGGGGAGGAAGCTTGGGTGGGCAAGGTGAAAGGGCCGGGGGGCCGTGAGTGGGAAGGAGGGCCCGGGAGGGGCTGGGACCGGGGAGACAGGGGCCGGGAGGAGCCGTGCCTTCCCCCTGACCAAGGATGCGCAGCGGGGGCCCCTCCAGCAGACTCCCGGGCGTCTACTGGCGCTGGGGAGGCCGACTCCCTCTGGCCTCTCTCGGGCCGAGGAGCCCTGCCGGGGACCGGAGGGTCGGCCGGTGCGGGGAAGGGACGGTAGGGCTGCGGGGACGGGGTCTCATCCCGCAGCGCGCTGTTGATGCGCCGGAGCGCCGCTGCTTTCTCCGCGTCCAGGTCTCCGGCGGTGACTCGGAAACCCAGCTCAGGGGGTGCGGGCAGCCTCAGCGGCTCCCCTCGCCTGCGCGGCAGCAGAGGAAACCTGCGTTTTCCGGGCCTGGGACTGTCCGATGTGGGGGGGCCATTCTCCCAGGTGCGTTTCTGCCCCCTGGAAGCTTCCGCGTCCTCAGGCCGGCTGTTGCTCTGGGAAGCCACCGGGGCGGCACAGGGCGGCGCCGGGCCCCCGTCGCTCGCTTTCCTCGAGGACCTCCGGGGCAGCCCTCGCGGCATGCGGGGGCCCGTCCTCCTCTGCCCTGGCGGGAAACCTCGGGTGGAGCTGTGGGAGCTCGTGATGGCGTTTCTTTGGGGGCAGGAGCTCACACAAGAGGTCTGGAGTTTCTCGGCGGATGTGTCTACCGAGCTCTCGGCGTGGAGGTTTCTCCGCAGAGGCCCAGGCCTGGGCACGAAGGCAGAGAAGTCTCCCCGGGCCCCAAAGGGCCTAAATGTTGACCGTGCACCCCGAGAGCCATCGGGACCCCCTTTCTGATGGTCCTTCTGTCTGAATGCGGGGTCTCCCTCCTGCTGGGCCAGCCCCTTCCCGCTCTCTCCCAGGGCGCTCCTCACCGTCTTCTCTGTGCAGGAGCCCGGGGCACACCTGAGTGTGGTGGGCGGCACGGGGGTGACCTGCTGCTGGCGCCCACCACACCCAGGGACCGTGCCCACTGCGGACGCTGAGCCGCGGCACATCGTGGAGATGCGAGCACCCAGCACCGCCTTCCTCTGATGGTGTCGCCTGCAGAGGGAGGTGAGGACCCCCAGGAAGGAGCGCAGGGCCTGCGGGATCATACACCACCATCTCAGAGACGCTCGGACAAAGCGCAGATGCAGAGTCACCGGATACTTGTGGGCTGGCCTGCGAGTGGACAGCGGGGCACGGACAGCTGGGTGACCTGGGCCGGCCACGGAAAACCGGCGGGGGCGGGGATCGGGCTGGGGGCAGCCGAGCCGTCCTGGCAGGTGCTGGCCCCCCAGAGCCCGGGGTGGGGGTGAGGGGCAGGGCCTGCCCAGGTAAGTGCCCATAGGGCACGTGGGTGGGTGGTCGGCGCTTGGATAGAGGGATAACTTCAGAGAGCTCTGGTTCAACTGCCAAGTCAGCCAAAGGTGAAGTGAGCAGTTTGGCGCGTTGCTGGGACGCAGCTCGAGAGCCTGTGAGCAAAGAATGGGCGCCCGTGCACGGGGCGCGCAAAGGGTCCGGAGAGATGGCGCATGCGCGGGGGAGTGTCAGTGTGTGTGTGTGTGTGTGTGTGTGTGTGTGTGTGTGTGTGCGCGCCCCTGGGGCGGGGGTGTGTGTGTGTTTGTGTCCCTGGGGCGGCCTAGGGATGCACTGCCGAACTGGGGCGCTCCCAGATCTCCAGGGTCTGTGGGTTGGAGGTTTTTGCCCTGAGAGTGATGAGCTTCTTGACAGGGCACGTACCCCTTCTCCCGGGCTGAGCTCTAATTGTACAGGATCGGTCCCTGCCCAGCAGAGTGGAAACTCTGGGGAGCAGGGTACCTTGCTCAGGAGCCGCTGCATGGGATGGCAGCTTTGACATCAGCACTGCGGGTCCTCCTGCCCTCTCACCTGGTTACAATGGAAAGGAGATCTGCTGGGGTGACAACTGAAATGGCGGCCTGGGCAAGTGGGAGGGACCTATACTCTCTGTGTTTCCTAGTCCATTCGCGGGGGAGAAGTCTAAGTTCCATGGGTGCTAAATAACACCCAGAGATCTCCTAATCACAGAGAAAATCCATTGTGAACTCAGGGATATCTCAAGAAGCTGGACACACCCCATAGGTCAAGCCCACCTCAGCCCTGAGACACTCTCCTGCCTTCTGTTTCAGCTGAGCTCAGACTGAGTCTTAGCCTTTCTCCATTACTACAGTAGTCTTCCATATCATCTTCCTTGCCTGTTTAACTTTTTTTCCCCCTTTTTTTTAGCCACACTGGCCATGAGGGTTCTTAGGTCCCCACTGGGGTTGGAACCTGCAGGGTTCCGCCTGCAGTGGAAGCTGGTGTCTTAACCACCGGACCTCCGTGGAAGTCCCCTGTTTAAGTTGTTTTGGGTGCAATTTTTGCTTTGACCACAGGAAAATGTAGAGGCTTTACGGCAATATAGATTCTGTTACCCTTTGCTTATAGTTGTCATGGGCTTCTCCCCACCCTGCAGTGTTAACAGCTTGGTATTAAGCCCCCAATGGGCAAGGGAAGGAGAACGCTGTTATAGACGGGAAAAGGAGGTTGGGCGGGCTCTAGAAAAGTGGTCTTGGCTTTTCATCGGCTGAAACCTTGCCAGGAAAGCAAAGGAGTCTTCCTTCTTCCTGTTGTGCTCTGCTATGGTCCTTTAAAGTGCATGAGCGCTCCCACTCTGGCCTCCCAACTCTATTTGATTGAAGTTTCTGTTTATTAATTTTTTACAGAAGCATCATGGCTGAGGTTGAAAACAAGTCTTGTCTTCTCTAGGTGTCTTCAATGAATTAAACAGCAAACAAAGTGACATACCGTATGCCCATCTGGGTCGTAAAATAAAGATGAGTGGATAGATGCCACCCACCTGGTCAATGAATAAAATGACACTATTAATTCGTAATTGTTTTCCACCTTAAAACAATAGCCATTTATTTATTTGTTTTCATTTAATTGTATTGGTTGGAGGCTAATTACTTTCCAATATTGTAGTGGTTTTTGTCATACATTGACATGAATCAGCCATGGATTTACAAGTATTCCCCACCCCAATCCCCCCTCCCACCTCCCTCTCCACCCGATTCCTCTGGGTCTTCCCAGCGCACCAGGCCCAAGCACTTGTCTCATGCATCCAGCCTGGGCTGGTGATCTGTTTCACCCTAGATAATATACATGTTTCAATGCTGTTCTCTCGAAACATCCCACCCTCGCCTTCTCCCACAGAGTCCAAAATTCTGTTCTGTACATCTGTGTCTCCTTTTCTGTTTTGCATATAGGGTTATTGTTACCATCTTCCTAAATTCCATAGATATGCGTTAGTATACTGTATTGGTCTTTCTCTTTCTGGCTTACTTCACTCTGTATAATGGGCTCCAGTTTCATCCATCTTATTAGAACTGATTCAAATGAATTCTTTTTAATGGCTGAGTAATATTTCATGGCTGAGTAATAATACCATAGCTTCCTCATCCATTCGTCTGCTGATGGGCATCTAGGTTGCTTCCATGTCCTGGCTATTATAAATAGTGCTGCGATGAACAACAATAGCCATTTATTGTCACACAGTTCTGTAAGTCAGAAGTCCATTCTGGCTAAATTGGATTCCTTACTCATGGTCTGGAGGTGTGAGGCCAGCTGCCTCCTTTGATTGTTTTAGATGACACCCAGAGAACCAGGAAAGTGTAGGGAGGATGAAAATCAGGAGAAAATATAAAAGGAAGTCAGGCTGATTTCAAATTATTACATTTTAAAAAAATACTTTTTGTCCACGCCTTGAGGCATGCAGGATCCTAGTTCCCCCACCAGGGATCGAAACCCATGCCCCCTGCATTGGAAGTACATCATAACCACTGGAACACCAGGGAAGTCCCTCAAATTATTACATACAATTGTTTATCATCCCAGAGTAACTGTTTGTGGCCTACTTTTTTCTGGATATCTTTGTATTTGTCCAAAATCAAGGCCACAGACTCTGCTTTAGACTAAGTTGTTCACTTTAAAGAATTTTGAAGATCACACCAATGGGCTTCCCTGGTGGTTCAGTTGGCAAACAATCCGCCTGCAATGCAGGAGACCACGATTCAACCCCTGGGTTAGGAAGATCCCCTGGAGAAGGAAATGGCAACCCACTCCAGTATTCCTGCCTGGAGAATCCCAGGGACAAAGAAGCCTGGCAGGCTACAGTCCATGGGGTCTCAAAGAGTCAGGCATGATTGAAGCAGCTTAGCACGCACAACCCAATTAAAACTGGTAACAGATTCTGTTAGAAATGTTTATAAATTGTCCTGGGAGAGAAACAGAAAGCAATGTTTTGCCTGGAGACAAAAGGAGTGGTTCCTAGAGTAAGGAACAGCTGATCAATGGGCATTGGGTGCAGCGGAATTTCGCTGTCATTCAGGGTTAAACGCCTCCAGGAAGAAGGAAAGCTGAACATTTACCTATGAATTTAAACTCCTGTAATTTTTAATATTGTCACCCTGCTCACTTAACTTATATGCAGAGCGTATCATGGGAAATGCAGGCTGGATGAGGCACAAGCTGGAATCAAGATTGCGGGGAGAAATATCAGAAACCTCAGAAATACAGATGACACCACCCTTATGGCAGAGAGTGAAGAAGAAGTAAAGAGCCTCTTGATGAAAGTGAAAGAGGAGAGTGAAAACGTTGGCTTAAAGCTCAACATTCAGAAAACTAAGATCATGGTATCCGGTCCCATCACTTCATGGGAAATAGATGGGGAAACAGTGGAAACAGTGACAGACTTGATTATATTCTTGGGCTCCAAAATCACTGCAGATGGTGATTGCAGCCATGGAATAAAAAGACACTCACTCCGTGGGAGTCAAGTTATGACTAAGCTAGACAACATATTGAAGAGCAGAGACATGACTTTGGCAACACAGGTCCATCTAGTCAAAGCTATGGTTTTTCCAGTAGTCATGTAGGGATGTAAGAGTTGGACTATAAAGAAAGCTGAGTCCTGAAGAACTGATGCTTCTGAACTGTGGTGTTGGAAAAGACTCTCGAGAGTTTCTTGGACTGCAAGGAGACCCAACCAGTCCATCCTAAAGGAGATCAGTCCTGAATATGCATTGGAAGGACTGAAGCTGATGATGAAATTCCAATACTTTGGCACCTGATGCAAAGGACTGACTCACTGGAAAAGACTCTGTTGCTGGGAAAGATTAAAGGCAGGAGAAGGAGATGACAGAGAATGAGATGGTTGGATAGCGTCACTGACTCGATGGACATGAGTTTGAGCAAGCTCTGGGAGTTGGTGATGGACAGAGAAGCCTAGCGTGCTGCAGTCCATGGGGTCAGAAGAGTTGGACACCACTGAGCGACCAAACTGAACTGAACTGAATTTTTAATAATCTTGTGAGGAGGAGATAGTCAGGATATTGTAGTTATCAAGAGACAAACGGCTACAAAACTAAGCGGTCACAGGATCAGATGGGTCCTTGCCTTCTGGTGGATATTTCAGAACGTGGAAGGGAGGTGAGAGGTCTCGCTTAGAACATGGAAGAGCAAGGTCCTTTCATAGACTTTGACACAGTGCCACCTAGTGGGTTGCTGTGAGATGGCTAAACCCTTTCATGATGACTGACTCAATGGACATGGTCTGTCTCTCAGTCGTGTCGAACTCTTTGCAACCGCATGGGCTGCAGCACACCAGGCTTCCCTGCCCTTCATCATCTCCCAGAGCTTGCTCAGAGTCACATCCCTTGGGTCAGTGATGCCATCCAACCATCTCTTCATCTGTCATCCCCTTCTCCTCCCGCCTTCAATCTTTCCCAGCATCAGGGTCTTTTCCAATGAGCTGGCTCTTGGCATCATGTGGCCAAAGTGCTGTGAGCTTCAGCATCAGCATCAGTCCTTCCAATGAATCTTCAGAGTTGATTTCCTTTAGGACTGACTGGTTTGATCTCCTTGCTGTGCAAAGGACTTTCAGCACCACACTTCACAAGCTTCAATTCTATGGCTCTCAGCCTTCCTTATTGTCCATTTCTCACATCTGCACATGACTACTGGAAAACCATAGCTTTGACTATGCAGATCCTTGTCAGTAAAGGGATGTCTCTGCTTTTTAATATGCTGCCTAGGTTTGTCATAGCTTTTCTTCCAATCTTCTCTTTTAATTTCATGGCTGCAGTCCCCATCAGCGGTGATTTTGGAGCCCAAGAAAATAAAGTCTGTCACTATGAATGACTTCAGTGGACAACACTGACTCAATGGACAGAAATTTGAGCAAGCTTCGGGATACAGTGAAGGGCAGGGAAGCCTGGTGTGCTACAGTCCATGGGGTAGCAAAGAGTCAGAAACGACTTAGCAGATGAACAACAACAATATTAATAAAATGTTAAATATATCTGCAACTCTCACTGAAGAATTAAAGCGGAATCATGGCTCCGCTCACTCG